CACTGATTTCTAATCTCAGCTATGTTTTTGTCTTTTGTTAAGTGTGCACATACTTTTGAAACAAAGAAAAAAATTTCATCCAAAATTTTTTTCGAAAGTGAAGCGATATTATCTGCTTTGCTTCCATTGATAGGTTATCGACTACGAGAAATCGATTGAGAAGGATTTCATAGCACGAAACCTCATGGTTCCCTTTCAAACGTGAATTTTGAGGGTGTGCACATACTTTTGAAACGCACTGTATTACCACACAGCCATATGAACAACACAAGTATATTAGGATCAGATGTTCACCAGTTTTGTTCACAAACACCCGTTAAGCTTGAATGCTATTCCAAAATCGAGCTGTGTGTAGAACCATCAGATCATGCAATGGTGAATAAAATTTTTACAGAAATGTTACCATCATCTGCGATGAAACAGTTCCAGAACAAACAGCTATTATTTCAAGTGAAGGCACAAATAACAAGATTCCTGGTCAATAATACAGCTTCAACCTACGCGCAAAAGTTGCGCTTCGTGTTCGTATATTTTTCACTGCTTGTATTGAAATCATCGTCCTGAATAATTTGGAGTATGCACGTAGCTCATGACTATGTCGGGTGAATAGCTGAGCTGAAGAATCCACAACCAGGGAAAGCCACGGTTTCGATGATAGTGACGTCGCGTCGAAAAGGCGCATTCCAGGAAAAATAATTGTGACCTAATCAAGGCCTAGTCAACTAGATATAGACTCAGTAATACTAATAGACTAGTAATCATATACTAATAGACATACGCTATAAATATTGTCTACGAATGGAACTGGAGGATGTGTGGAATGCGGGTGTGGTTCACTAGAACAGAAAGCGACATTTTTCGCGCTTTCGCAGCGCGAAACATTTTCGCGGCGGGAACCCTGGGTCCACCGCTGATCATCATTGGACCCGAGGCTCTCCGCATCGAAAAAATGTTTCGCGCTGCGAAATGCGAAATGTAGCCGCTTTCTGTCCTAGTGAACCACACCCGTGGAAAGCAGTTACCTGACAATCTTATCTTGGGGTTTGACTGTAACCACGGACTCACAGGTGCGTACGTACAGAGGATTCCTAGCCTTAATGCCATCAGGTTTCGTTGCTAAGATAGCCGTCTCCACGCTCAGGTTTTCTGAAAAATTGTCTCTCCTACTGTAAGCAAATATACATGTGTGGTTCTCCAAGACAGAAAACGACTTTTCTCATTTCGCGGCGCGAAATTTTTCGCTGCGGGAACTCTAGGTTCACTCATGACCAGGGGCCGTAGGGTATGCCTTGAACAGGAGAGGGATCCTATTTTGCATGTCCAATCACGAGGATATCTCCCCGACTGCAAGTCCATCGGGGAGAGGGAGATATTCACAAGAACCCGAGGGTATCCCAAGGACCCAGCAGCTCTTCGTGGAGAGCATAACGTTACCAGAATGAGTCCCTTGCCCCATTCTGACGGGAGCATACCATAACGGCCGTGCGCGTGGAACTGAAAGTACCCGCAGGGGGAGAAGAAATGTTATCGCGCGCGCAACCTGAGGAGCTTGCCTCTGCCTATGAACCACACCAGAATTAAGCGAGAATCATCCCACCTTCGACATTTTTCTTAAATCTTGAATTAAAATAGCCTTACGATTTTGTTTCTGGCGTGAAGAAGTGGTTGATAAACTTGGTGTTGCCCACAACGATATCGTAAATTACTGAAAACAACGCATCAACCACCTAACAAACTAATAAAACAAACCACCACACTAAGCAAATCTTGAAAATTAAACTAGCCTTACCGATTTTGTTTTCTGGCGTTGAGAAGTGGTTGATAAACTTGGTGTTGCCCACAACGATATCGTAAATAAATTACTGAAAACAACGCATCAACCACCTAACAAACTAATAAAACAAACCCACCACACTAAGCATACCGATGAATAACAAATACATGATACGGAAACGACAATAAGAGGGTCTGGTGAAGCACTGAGATAGGCGCTATCACAAGGGAGTGTGGTGTGCTAAGACAGAAACTGAATTTTCCGTTTTTCGCATGCAACTTTTTTGCTGTAAGAACCCCAGGTCCACCCCTCTTCAGTGTGGAACTGGGGATCCCGCAGCGAAAACCGTTAGGGTCGCTTTTTGTCCTAGCAGCCAAACCAATAGCAAGGTGCGAGGCATCCTCCAGGACTACCTAGGAGGGGGGCAGGAACAGGGGGGAAAATGGAAATTGTTTGTGCACTTTGGAGTCCCTGCCCCACCTAAGGCTAAGTTTCGATTTTCACGAAGCCCCATATCTTCTGACAGCCTTGGAGTGCAAGGCAAAAAGCATATGTTGAACCTGATGCTAAGTTGAAGTCCAACGAGCTCTAAAACACGCAGCGTACATTCGGGGAGCAGTTCAAAATCAAAATCGTTTTAAAATCATATGTAAAGAGAACGGAACTCACAACTGCAAAAGCGTTCACTAAAATGATTCTAATACGAAAACATTCGATTCACCATGTCAAAATTTCCAAAACATTGATTACAAATATGAAAATTAAAACTGCAGAATGGACCTGCCAAGTAAGTAGTTGTGAGACCGACGTCATAGTCGGCGACGGACCAAGCGATGGAGCGATCGCGATCGCTCCATCGCTTGTCCGTCGCTTGCCAATCGCTCTCGGTCGAGCGATTGGCAAGCGATTGCGCAATGTGCACAAGCGACGGGCGATTGGCCCCGCCCCCAGTCAATGCAGTCGGCTGCGGTATCGATCGAGCAGAGCCATTGCCCGTCGCTTGTGCACTTTGCAAGCGATTGCGCAATCGCTCGACCAAGAGCGATTGGCAAGCGACGGACAAGCGATGGAGCGATCGCGATCGCTCCATCGCTTGGTCCGTCGCCGACTATGACGTCGGTCTTAACATCAAAAAGGGGGCCTGCGAATCAAAGCGTTCCATATGGAACGTGGTACCGTTCGGGCATTCGAAGTCGCCACGGGGTAGTGGTGGTTCTCTCGAAAGTTGCACTCCAACAGGAAGGGAGCGCACGACCTCTTGGCTGGAGAGCGAGGACACTACCACTACAACCACGGCGACTCTGAAAGCCCGGAAGCTGCACGGTTCATATGCTTGCTGCTGCTATTGCTTACTTCAGCCAACTTTGACTGCTCACAACTTCCTTGGCAGGTTCATTTTGCAGTTTTAGTTTCCATATTTGTAATCAGCGTTTGAAGCTCTATCGATATATCTGGGTCTCATCAAAGTTCCATGGGAAGTTGAATGCCTTTCCTGGTAGTCGTAGTTCTTACACAAAGAGTATGCTTTTCCGGCCGTATTCCACCATTACATTCCAAAAACTCAAAAATTTTCTTCAAAATTCTCCTACAGGCAACTCGACGGGATCTGATTACGCAAGGACTGTTCATTTATTCCTCACTCGGCCGTGAAACTAATATTAGTCAGACATCTTGTTCTGAGACCATTTACATGTATGCTGTAAAAAGTCTTTCGAGAAGTATAAAATTTTAACATGCCTCTAACTAAGTACACAGCGCACGTATCCGAAGTAGCCACCTCATTTGCTCGCTGTTTTTTTTTAGCTAGGATTCCAATTTATCCCAACCCTCTTCTTGACCTCTTCCTTTTATAATCACCCGCTAGAATCTACCACGCACGAGGTTACATAGGGAGCAACCCAAAGACAGAAGAGGGCACACTCCCTTAATCCACGTGCGTTCACTCTACTCAAGATGGGTTTTTTATCAAAGATGATCCGCACTCCAACCACCACGAGACTGGCAATCTGCACTTCAACCATCCCGAGATCCAAACTCAAACCACCCCGATCCTCACTCCAACCTCGAGAACTGAGACTACGAACTGGGACTTGAGCTGGTATCCAGTGACGAATGTCAACATGCACTCCGCACACGGCGATCCTTTCAACTGATAAGCGAGAATCAGGCAAATCATTTGCTCTTTCCTGGCCGTCCATTCAAGGTCACCTTTGAAGGAGCACAATCCTTACTCCAACCTTACTCCGAAAATCAATATCGACCCAGTCAATTTCTTCCGAGACCAGAAATCAGGTGCAATTCTAAAGAGAGCACCAAACACCTAACATTCACTAGATCGCCACCTCCCTAGTTCCATATTGTGCTTGAAACGTGGTGCATACTAAGTGTTAAAAACCTGGATTCAGGAATAAAAGTTATTAAATTGAAAATATCCCGCTGTGTCGTCGAAATTATGGTCAACCTACATAGGATGGTAATTGGTGCCCAAGGGGGGGGGGGACCACGCGGCGGCGCGGCGCTCTGTTCGTCTGCTCCTCCAAGCTTAGTCCGCCGATGGCGCGTATTTCGAAACTGCCACGTGGCGACGAAATAGTAACTGCCCCTTGGACTAAGCCTTAGAGGAGCAGACGAACAGAGCGCCGCGCCGCCGCGTGGTCCCCCCCCCCAAACCCACTTAGCACCGGTTATGATTTGTCTTGATTACGAATAGATAATTGTCTTTGCCTTTTAACCACCATACACATAGATCTTCCACCACATGAGCCTCTCTTTTACTAACTTAGCCTTAATAAGAAATGGATTCATGTTTAGGTAAGCGTACTATTGGGGTGAATGAGTAATATCGAAAATCGACGTGCTCACCCGAACTCACAGCACCGCTTTTCAATCAATTCATAGGAGTTGCGTGAAAAATGGCCTAGCTTAGGGAGGAATCCCACGCCCAGTCGTTTTCGAAAGTTCGACAGTCTTATTAGAGAGGCGCAAACAAGCAGAACCAGAGAGGGCAGCGCCATTAACGTGAAAAAGGTGATATGCTGCTATCGAACTGTGGTAAAAATTGACCCATATCAGATTCGAAAGTTCTCCTACAGTAAAATGCATCCTGTATCCCGAGAGTTATTGCCGCTCACAGAAAACCAGTTTTACACCTTGAGTAAAACCACTGCTGAAGTTAAAACAATGGAGTGTTTAGCATTATTGCATAAGATAACTTTATCTACTAACCACATATTGTAGGTCTGTGGTGATTGCACAGAGCTCCTACAGCATTTCCTTCCCGTTCCGTTCTCTTGGATGGGCCAGGACACGTTGTTGGCTCTCCCATTTCTTCGCGGAACACGTACTGCACACATAACTGAACGACAGCAGCAGTTCCCTCTGCCTTCAGCTGTGCCTTCCCTAGTCGGTGGCCGCACTGAGGACAAAACCGAAACAGCGACATAAGCATACGGCCCTGCACAATGAAAAACTTGTCCATGATGGCCTCATCCGTCTCCTCAACATCTCCCGATACAGTATTCGAATTTTCGCTTGTCCTGTGCTCCATCACCTAAATCCACATCCACTGATGCAGAAATGGTAACAACGAGTTTCCAACCTTAAATCTCTTATTGTCCTTTGCCACTACATCTCCTTCCTCACCATCCATTTGGACTTCAGGCTTTGGCTGGCGGAAAGCCAAGGACTCGTCGAGTGGTGCACTGGGTACAGCCTGTTCTAAGCCCTTCTGAAATTCTTATTGTTGCGTGATAAAGTGAATAATTGCCATGAAGATATGGAAAAAAAACCTTCTTCTTGTCTGCTTTCCCCTCTTTGATTACAGGTTTATATTGGTGAAATGCGTCCCGAGCTACGTAAGTCTAGATTAGAATGAAATTCACTGAAAATTTCACGAAGTGCAATGATTTTAGCGCCACCTGTTCCGTTAGTCGCCATATTTCTGTTGAGTAGTAGCGTTTCAATGCCTTATTCATGAAAAAGGTAACATCACGAGATGTAACGGTAGTGATACCCTGAACTTGCAGTTCCTTCCATTTGTAACAAGAGAAATGTAAAACGAAAATGTAAAAAAACGAAACACGTACATACAAATCATACCGTTGCCATGCTCTTGATGGAATCAATTAAGTGCTGTGGAATGTCTCCATTTGATACATACACATTGGGCCTAGACGAACTCGGATCATAATATTCGGCCATGCGCTTGCCCATCAATTCCATTTCAGCGGAGATGAATTGAGCCTGTTTATAAGGGCAAACGATACGCGTGTTTTGAACCATATTTGATTTGAGTTCAGCTTACCGCTTGCACGAAATGTTCATCACATAAACAAACTTTTCGAGGCGTGGCTGCCCCCACAAAGCTGCGTGCATAGTCAACTTCTATGTATCCAGCCAACGCTAGAGACATGAGCATCACAGCGTTCTCCTTCTCCGACGACGATGATGTTTTCGCAGTTGCACGAGACAAAACTGCTCCACAAATTCCGCAATGAACCATTTTTGAATATTCTAAAACACATCACATCCTTTACGCAAAAACAGACATCCTGCTACATATAGTACACGTCCGTCTGTTTATCACGAAATTCGCAGCGCCCACACACACACGTGCAAAAGAAACACTTCGCGATTCATATCTATGGCCGCACGCATAGTCGGTCGTCCGACAGCAACGATCGCTGCTGTCGGATAGGCCGGACAGCATAGCGGTCGGACGACAGCAACGACCGCAGGTGTCGCAGATCGATACGCACCCAATGCTGTGCGACACTTGCAGTCGTTCCTGTCGTCCGACCGACTATGCGTCCGACCTATGCGTGCGCCAAATGTACCAGGGACTTTGCGATTGGAGCGATTTTGCACCAATTGCAGGAGCGACGGATCGCTTGAGCGATGCGAGCGACGGGAGATTTACCCCGCCGAATACCGATACACACGGCGCCGCTCGGGTAAATCTCCCGTCGCTCGCATCGCTTGAGCGATCCGTCGCTCCTGCAATTGGTGCAAAATCGCTCCAATCGCAAAGTCTGACATCGGCCATTCGGAGAACAACTTGCAGTATTGATCGGGCACGTAATAACTTCCCAGTGACTGGTGCTAAACTTAGTTGGGGGGCACGCGGCGGCGCGGCAGTCTGCTCGCCTGGCATGTTCGGAAATCCGTGGGCCAGGGGGAGTGTAGGCAGTCTAGGGGGGTGGGGGGTGGGGGGGGCAGTCACTTGACATGCGTGAAAAGCTGGAATGTTCGAGTTTACACGTCTCGCCTGTCTCGTTCGAGAGAGCCCAGGTGAGCAAACTGCCGCGCCGCCGCGTGGCCCCCCCCCAACCAAGTTAGCACCCTCCATGGATTGTCCGCGCAAAAATCGCGGCGGTGCGACAGTTACGCAGATCGCTGAGCGTCGATGACCGTCTGTGGCATGCGCCCTTAGCTCCGCTTCGCCTAGCTATACCTAGCTTCACCTTGCCCACCATTGGCTATCGTGCTCACGCTTATAGTTCACGACTCCGGAATTATTACAGCAGGCAACTATGAAAAAGATACGTATTGACAAGAAAATCAGGTTACCTTGATTAGGTGTGCCAAGCATGAGATCATAATGAAATCAACGTCGCTTGACGACAGGCCAGGGTTGACATCGGTCTAGGGCCGCACGCATAGTCGGTCGTCCGACAGCAACGATCGCAAGTGTCGCACAGCATTAGGTGCGTATCGATCGTCAGAAGTGCGACACTTACGATCGTTTTTTTTTGCTTTGCGGGTTCCGGGCAAAACCCGGGACCGACTAATGCGTGGCGCCGTGGGGAGGGGGGGGGGGTCATTTGCGCGATTAACGGCGCTCAACGCATTTAAAACCACGGAAGGCATATTATTTAGTCGTAAGCGTTTAGGACTAAGCTTTGTAAGAGAAGAGACCACCGAGTACGTGTGAGCAATCTCCAATCCGGGAACTTCCTCCCTTTCCTAGGCTTAGTCTTAACCGCTCACAAGAGTATACTCGATATCTGCGAATTAGGATTAGGTCCACGGGTTTGACGTGGCGGCCGCCCGCAAGTTGATGGAAAAGTGACGCGGATAAGATCCATGCTCTGCTGATTATTCAATGGCTCGCCGGCTAAACGTACACCGGAAAAAACTCAGGACGAGTTCTCCGGACGAGATTTTCGCGCTATTACGGTTTGAATTTCAGGTTACTGTATTGTTCGTCGCGGGACCAACGGCTCCAGAGCCCTCCATTGTCGATCGATGTCGGCTTTTTTTTCGTTGACAAAGATATTCAAACTGTGAGCGATGCTATTCTACTCTGGATTCCTGCTGTTCTGCTGTATTCGGGTTCTGTTCTACGCTGCTGTATTCACTGCTACTGTATTCTTCAGATCTGCTCTGTTTAAACCCCATTATCTTCGTCTCCCCTCAATAAGATTTTCCCCAAGTTCGCCCCTACCTCTGAATTCCTCTCTATTTTGCCTACATATTCACTTCTTTATTACTGCGGCTACTACTAATCACTGAGACACTGATCTTCTGCAGCTGCTAACCAACGTGAGTTTATATTTTTTTGTGCAATAACTTCGGTCGCCTTTTTAGATTTGCTCTCCTTTGACACCCTTGACAGATTTTCCGTTTCTCTCCTCACTTCGACATCTATTTTGGTTTTCTCCTTGTTTACATCAAATGCCAGTGTAGGATTGAAAATGGGTGGAACGATTATGATTCCAACCCTTTTCATTTTTGCGCTGGCTGAAGAAGGAATCATTTTAGTCTTTTCGTCGTTCTAGTTTCTCAGAAACATTTTTAACTAGCAATCATCCAGCCCCGCGCCATTACTTCTGGGCTAATATTTATACATTTTGCTGAACTTTCAATCTTTCACGGCGGAGTTCGACTTTCATCTTCCTTTACTCCAATTGTTTTCATTGACCTAGAAAACTTCTCTACTCTATCTACTCAGCTATCCGCCATGAGCCAAAACTATATTAGGCCATGTGCTGTACCCGTTAGTGCTGATTAGCATGTACTGCCAGTCTAGGTTGATGTCACGATTGATCTGAAGTCGGGAATCAGCCGTGATCTGCAGGTATGCTACGCCATAGAAAATTAGTTCCACTTACAATTTCGCAACCCACACCTTTCTACCCACCGTAGAACAGTCCAAGTGGGACCTATGCTTTACCTTTGCCACATGAATTACCAGTGCTGACAGCCAGCTTTTACGAAATAGCTACGCTCCTTCTCCAAATATTTTTCCAATTGAATTTTGCACCAATCAAGAATTCATTTCTGTGTAGCTTTGTACTGTTGTTAGTTTTTACGGTTAATCGAGAATACTTTAACACATTTGAGGAAATGGATCCCACACATTCCGAGTGCCCTGTCTGTCATAAAGGAATAGTCAAGCGCAACCTTGTTTCTCACATGAAAGATGTACACGATATTTCTCCGACGACAGCTAAAGGAATGTTAGCGCAGAGGAAAAAGACTGAATTGGAGTCCCAAGGGAAGCAGGTGGAAATCTGCGAAGTTTGCGGAAGTGTTTTCACTACCAAAAGAGGGTTGAGGGTACACGCCAGGTCCAAACACCCCGACCAAGCTGACGTTGAAGAGGCTGCGGAAGAGGAGGTCCACACCACGGCGGTTCAGTGCTGCCTTTGCGAACAAAATTTCAATACACAGGAGAAGCTCAGTGAACACTGTGGGCTAGAACATTCTGAAGAAGGAGCTCTTGGAAGAATGCAAGACTATACAGTACACAAACTTTCTTTCCCGAATCCGGAGGAATACAAGGTTAGTAATGGCACTTATAGCGAACTCTTGAGCAAAAAAATTCTTAAGGAATGGTTGGATAGAATGTGTGACCTTCACTGCACGTCATTCTACTGCAGGTCAACCAAGGAAGGCAGAAAGAAATTAATTATGCGGTCTGAATTAGGGCTGGATTGGATGATTGCTTTTGGAATTTGGGCTGGATGATTGCTAGTTAAAAATGTTTCTGAGAAACTAGAACGACGAAAAGACTAGAAATGATTCCTTCTTCAGCCAGCGCAAAAATGAAAAGGGTTGGAATCATAATCGTTCCACCCATTTTCAATCCTACACTGGCATTTGATGTAAACGAAGGAGAAAACCAAAATAGATGTCGAAGTGAGGAGAGAAACGGAAAATCTGTCAAGGGTGTCAAAGGAGAGCAAATCTAAAAAGGCGACCGAAGTTATTGCACAAAAAAATATAAACTCACGTTGGTTAGCAGCTGCAGAAGATCAGTGTCTCAGTGATTAGTAGTAGCCGCAGTAATAAAA